ATGCTGCTCTTGCTCTCTGTCCTGTTTCTGTGAGTACATCTGCACAGATGAGTCGCCACAGTTTAAAGTATCTGTAAAGCCATGGTAATTCTGCAGGCAGGCACTGTCAACTTAAGCTTTCTTGATTAAATCCCTTTCATAATATAGGTATAAATGGGTGGGAAAGGCAGATGCAAGCGTGCTGTGTCTACAAGCTTGCCTTGTACAGTCCATCTTTCAGTAAAATTGTAATTGCTTGATGTACCTGGCCTCTTTCTAGCAGTGGTAATACCAGTGGGAGTTTCCTGGCTTGTGTTTCTTGTTTCTTCAGCACCTCTGAATCTTCAGAAGTGCCAGGCATGATAAGATTGTTGTGTTCAAGCTGCAAACAAAAAACTAAAGAGGAAGGAGAGTACATCTGCAGGATTAGAAGCAGTTAATAACAACAGTACTATTATACAAACTAATTTTCAGTTCTCACAAGTATATTGTGTACAAATTCACATCAGGCCTTTGCAAAGGTGGAATGATTCAGGACTTTGTATTTGGGAGCATGGGACCTTTCCCCAGCTAAACCCGCCAAGCCTTAGCTGCTGCAGGAGTTCTGTATTCCCTACCATGGCAATGCCACTTGTTGGGCTGTTGTTGTTCTGGGTAGCAAGATGTAAAACCACCATGATCTTTTATCACCCAAAGGTGAAATGTGAAGGATGGTTTAACCTGTTTTCCTTGATGTTATTTTAAGGTATATATTCAAAGCATGTGGCAGAATGGCAAGTTTTCTTGGAGAACGTTACAACTGTATTTACAGGGATGCGGGGTAGTTTGCAAAGGGAATGAAACATGAAACAAATTAGAAGACCTATAGGTTGAGTGGGATAATTCTGTTAGAATCAATGTGAAATCTGAATTAGTATTAATCCCTCAGATATTTTAATTTTTTTTTACAAGATGGTGTGTGGCCAGCATCCCTGTTGGCACTGGCATAGTCTCATACTAATGCAGCTGCCTGGCTTGATAGATGTCACCATTGCCAGCCTGCAGGTGTCTGTAGCTGAAAATGTGGACTTGCTGTTTCTCACCTGAACCATTCACCACTTTAAAAGTCAGCTGGAGGACAAGACTCTATATTCCATGTGTATATGGGCTGTAATAGGTTTCTTTTTTAAAAATAACTACATTTTGTCTAATGCTCTGCAGCGGGAGTCAGGCGAGTCGGGGCTGTGGGCAGGAGGGGGCTGTGACCAAGCTGCCCTTGGTCCAACAGCTCTGCTGCTCAGGGCAGTGGGGCTTCAGCACCCTTGGTACCTTGGCTGGGTAACACTACACGTCTGGCCCAGCCTGGACACATCTGGTACAATTCCCATGCTGGAAATCATCAAACTGGATGGGAATGAGCTTTAGTAATTCCTAACGGAGCAGAGAAACAAGTTGAAGGTGTAAATGGAATACAATTTTGTGATTGTGGAGCGTGTTTTGTTAGGAATACTTTTGTCTATCTTAGTCCAATAATTGTAACATAATAAACTTGTAGAGCAGAAGGTGTTCATGCACAACATAAGAAAAGAGCATGTAAATCTGTTGAAATTGCCACCACTTTGGATTTTCTTCAGTATTTAATAATTTTCTTACTGGCTATTGCATTACTTGCCATTTAATTTTGTATTATTTCAGTTGAGTTGAGAAAAAGAGGGTTTTGTTATCTCCAGGGGCTAATTTTCTTGGACTAAGTAGTTTCAGTAGTTGGACAGTGATTTCCAAAGTATTGTGCTAGAAAACGTTAACAAACCCTTGCAAAGCAGTGCCAGAGTGCTCTATTTTTGTCTTCAAAGTAAAAAAGAAAACGTTTTCAAGATGTTGAATGGTACTTTTGAGTTACTGAGATTTATCCATTAATTTTACAAGAATTACAGATTGTGTCCAAAAATGCTGACATCCTTAGACAGAAATTTTGTTGGAGTAGATCTGATGTAACAGATGGGCTGGAGCAGCCCCTTATGAAAGACGGGGCACTCAAAGCTGTGATCAACAGGCATTTCTTGGCAATTGATTGCTGCGAAGCCTGACATGGTGGTCTGCTTCTCTCTGCTGAATGAGCTAACCTGGGAACTCTGATGCATCTGGAATTGTCTTTAAGATCTCCTCGAAGGGGGAAATTATCCTTTTCTTTAAACATGGGATGTTGTTGCTTTCAAAAACCTGACTTTTTAAAAGGAGAAGATGGGGGGAAAGTGTTTGGGGGTGCTTCATGTCCTCCAATACTGTGCATTTTCAGTGTATGGTCAAAGGACTAGTCTGAGGATTCTTGAATGTGGAAATGTTTCAGTTTTTCTTTTTTTTTTTTCTGTACAGTAAGTCTCAATAGAACAACTTCATAATTTTGGCATCCTCAGAAATGATCAATATTAAAATCTTTTTGTATGTATCCAACTCAGTTACTTCATGTGGTTTTGTAATTGTCTGTATTTATTTACTTTCTAAGTTACCATACTTGCTTAAAAATTCCAAGATTATACATGTGCTGTTGTCATTTTCTTTACATTTTAGAAAATAAGCTAGGGATGCACAACTTTGTCACTGTAATTGCATTCCCTTCAGGAGCTGCAGAATTCACTGTGATTGTATAATATCACTACCTGACCTTTTTCCGCCACATAGTTTTTTCCTTGCCAGGAAGAAATTAAGAAGACCTGTCATCTTGTTACATTAGTAGGCAGTTAGGGCTGTGCAAGTTGGTATAAAAAATGGGCATAGTAAAATAAGTAAACATAAGCAAATATATTTAGTAGTTATAATAAACTATGCAAGTGTTCTTTTAATTTTTGGAAATTAGATTGCTATGCCATAATAAACATCAGCATCATTGCCCAGCACCCAGGCTTTGGTGCTTGGCATTTGGATTTGCAGAATCTAGATATCCCTGGTTTGTTTTCCATAGAAATGAAATATGTTGTTTGTTTATGGATAAGCAGTAAGCTTCCAGTTGAGAATATATAACTATTACTATATTCTCTAGTTGAGAATATATAACCAGTGAGTGCAATAAGCAATCATAATGCTGCAGGCAGAAGGTGCCTGTTTGTATATATGAGGCTGTAGACATTTATGTGCTTTTATTCTTTATTCTTTACTGCTTTTTAACCATATAGAATCCATACACTACACATTGCTACTGACAACTAACAATTTCTTGACTTCCTAGTAGAAATGGATTTTGAGAAGATTTAGAAGTGTGGAGTTAAACGTGGCTTCCTGAAACATTGTCTGGTGGAAATAAATAGGAGTTTCATAGTAGGTTTCAGTAGCCAAGACTTGAAATTTAATTTTATTTTCCTACTCTTAAGAAGAAAAAGAGAGGTGTATTGGGAGGTCAGAGACTGGATGATTCTGATGACTGGAACAGTATAATACAACTTTGACAAGCAGTTAGCAATTTAATTTAGAGAGCCTTAAGAAGTGAGGATGCATTAACATAAGCGTTTTAATTCAGATGATGTTTATCCTTTATGAATCTTTGTCTCTCCAAAACTTGCACCCTTGCTGGGATCTCAGAGCATGCAGCTCTTCCAGATGAACTGAGCTTGGACAAGGCATTGCTGTCACTACTGGGCAAGCAGACCATGGAGTCAGGTTCAAAACCCGTGTGTACGTAGATACTGGGTCCTCAGTACCAACAGTTTCCCTCTGGAGGTCCTCTCCTACTGCAGCACAAGTTGTGTAGGCATGGCCTCAAATGGCTGAACTGGTGGGGAAGAGGAGCTGAGGAAGAGAGAGCTGGCAGGATCTAAATACCTTGTCGTAGCCAGTGGGTGAGGTGGTAACATCCAGACATAGGCACAATCATTTATGGCTGGTAGTGTCTCAAATGACTCAAGTCATTTTGCAAGTAATCACTTCAGCATATTGTCCATCATGGATTATTGGTTTGAAATAAAAAGTGGTTTATGCTTAGAATAGAAAAATGTGGACCACTAAGATTTCTGAGGATAACACATCTGGGCATTAAGACAACAAAGGGTCATTTAAAGCAAGCTGCTTCTTGAACAGGAAAAAGAGAAGGGAAAAGTGAGCTTTGACTTTTTTAATGTGGTAGCCTGTAGGCTGCTGGGTATTTGAGGGCTTGAATATCAGTATTTCAGTCATCACGAATTAATAGAACAAGATGAAAAGGGCTTCTACAGCATGAACAAAACTACTCAAGTGTTTTCTTGGAGGTTTAGTTAGCTCTCCCTGAGAACATAGGCACAGTTCATTTGAGCTCTCTGAAAAATGGCAGAAGGCTCCTTTTTGTTCCCTTTTCGTTTTGCTCAGTTGATTTATTTATGAGTTACTGTTTGCGTGAAATGATTGATTCCTTTCAGAGGGGTAGAAAATTCTGACAAATGCTTCTGTTGGGAGCAGATTCATATCCCTGCAGCATGGTGCTAAGGCATTTCAAAGCAATTGAGTTCTGGTTAAGACAGAAGTAGTATCATAGAGAGGGTTTTGGGTGCATCACTGGCAGTGAAATAAAACTGCAAAACCTAAAACCAAGAGGTTGCGAGTGTCACTTGCAGTATGTTGGATGCCATAGATTAGCTCTGTGTTATCTTTAACGGGGGTGAAAACATACTTGATTTTCAAGCTGTCTTTTTTTTTAGTGCACAGGGTGCTAAAATCACATGTTTTGGCAGAAAAAAGATAGAGCACAAAGCAACAGCTGGATTTGAAAGCTGGATTAACATAAATTAAAAGCACAAACCCAATTTCTAGCAGAATATGATTGACCACTGAAAATCTAACCAGCTAAGAGAATGGCAATTCATCTCCTGATGTCCTCCAGTCAAAACTTTACTCAAGCACGAGTTATGCCATGGTTATGCTTGGTTTCCCAGGGTAATTGGGTGTCAGTCTGTGGCTGCATTATACAGGAGGTCACACTTCATATTTGTTATGATCTTTTTTGATTTAAAATCAGGAATTGTAACGTAAGCCAAATTGAAATCAGTGGTGTTGGGATTTGTCTCTCCCTCTGTTTGCAGGTACTACAGCGCTACCATTCTGCAGATGTCAGGAGTTGAAGATGATAGGCTTGCCATCTGGCTGGCTGCACTGACAGCATTTATAAACTTCATTTTTACTCTTGTGGGAGTCTGGCTTGTTGAAAGAATGGGTCGCCGGAAACTTACACTTGGTAGCTTAACAGGTGAGTGCTTAATTAGTGTGTGGTATTTCCTTTGTAAAATTAAAATATAATAATACTAAATAAATGCTAATAAATTCTAAAGTTTTTTCAAAGTTGTTCTTTTTCAAATAACAGTGTTGACCCCATCTTCTCCCTGAAATCATATGGCTTTTTCAAGACCTCTAGTATAGTACCACAGCTAAAGGCTAACTTAAAAAAGAGGTTTAGCATGTTACTTTTTCAGGTGCAGTTTTCTGCTTTAAGGTGTGTTTGACAGAGTTTTTCTTTAGCTTGTTAATGCTTTTTTTTTTTTAGTTTCAGTGTAAAGAATCAAATGCTTGTAACCTCACAGGTGGTTAGTTTTTAAATCTCATGTGCATATATGTGATGTGTAATTTCTGGCTCATTAATTGCAATTCAGAACAGCTTATCAAGAACTACCAGAGAAAGCATATTGCAGATAGCCATTGGGGCCCTTTTAAAAGAATAATGCAATTATTTGAAGAGCTATCTCAAATACAATACAATAAATACCTTACTTACACTAATGTGGTTTTAACTCATCTCATGCTAAAAGAGAGAATTCTAGAATTGCAGATTTTATCCAAATATTCAAACACTGTAAACTGATCATGCAGCAATCTCTTGGAAGCAGGAAAAGGCAGAGCAAGCAGCCTTGCCCACATTCAGCTGTGTCCTGCCATTTACCAGGAAGTCCTCGTTTGCTCCTGCATTACATGCTAATTGTGCCAGAAGTAATCTGTGACAGATACCTGCCTCTGGCTGAAAGGTTCAGGCATTTCCAAGAACAGTTCCTGCTCCTCTAGAAATAATGTTCACAAGTGTTTAGCTGGAAAGGTTTGCTGTCTCCATATTTTGTTCTGTTGTCACTGTCAGGGATCCAAACTTCCAGTTAATGCAACACAGCAGAGTGGGGACCACCTGCCAAGTCGCTGGCCATCTGCAGTTCCCAAGGGATGGGAGTTAATCAATGCTCATGGTATTTGAATGCATTTATATAGGCAGAACAGTGACGGCACAGTGCAGTGTCTGGTTTGATACACAGTTACCCAATTCTTTAAATCAAAACATGCAGTTGGGTGTTCCAAATGATAATAAATGTGTATTTGTTTGTTACCATCTTGATCTGGAGTCAAGAAACGTGAAGTGATTTTCATGATCCAAGTTCAGAAATGTAGCCATGACAGAGGAGATTGGAAAATCACATTCATCATGTTTTGAAAAATATAAACAAAATCTCAAATCACTATTTTTATCACAGTCTACCTCCATATCACTTAAAATACATCTTCCCTGTAAGTTCTTTTGTGCCCCCAGGCAGTGCCAAGTTTTTCACAGAGAAAGGACCCAGTTCTGTACCATTCCTTTTGCTCAATGCCTCATTTCCCCTGTGGTACTTATCCGCTGTCTTGTCTTTCTGCAAAATGGATCTCTCCTAGCACTGCACTGGTACTTTTGGTACTACCTCTCCTTTCTAATCTATTGGAATGGAATACTTATACATACGTGTGTGTGTATATATATGTATATGTGTGTGTATATATGGCCCAGATAACCTCAGAACTCTGGCTAGTCCCTCAGGAGTTTATTGCTCATCTGGACCCAGCTGTATAAGTGTGATTCCTATGTGGACTTCTCGTACAATGACAGAACTCTCAGCTTTTTGGCTCTACTTAACATACTTAAAGGTCATACATTTGAAAAGTAGATATGTCTCTTACAAAACATGTTAGTCATAGCACAGAAGAGGATATAGAAATAGGGCACAGAATTAACAAAGGGTTATAATACAATTACGTGTTATTTGTTTGTGATGTTTAGAATTTTCTAATGCAATGTTTGATACTTAGATTTAGGTAGTAGTGGATATGGTGTGTTTTCCTTATCAAGCGGGCTGTTTCCTAAAATGATGATTACTAAACCTGCTGATGGATTTGTTTTGCATGATGAGTTTTTTTCATGGAGTAAACTTATACTTGACTGTTCTGCTTTGGTTTGTGTTTCTAAGGACATCGATTTTCATGCAGAGTTACTATGGGCTGCTTCTCTGGTCTTTGGAGAAGCCATGTATGCCCCAGTCTCCTGGTACATAAAATGAAGTCAAAACTACTACCTTTGCCTGCTGCTGCAAGAATTTGGGTTAGGGTTTTTTTGTAAACATTAATTGATGTGATGTTTGTTAGATGATGACCTACAAGAATAATCAGTAGAGAGATAGTAACCTTAATATTTTGATTAAAAGCCAACATACTCTAATTTAATTTTGTAAACTCATGTGGCTGCTTCTGCTTTCTGATAACATTTGGGGAAGAGCTGTTTTAAATTTAAGTTAATGTACCCTTATCATTAGCAACTTTTGAAAAATTGAGCCTTTTGGGTCAATGCAGGAGCATTGGGAAAATTACAGTAAACTGCTTCTGCAAAAGAAAAAACCCAACAAACACAAACCAAAAACCCCACACCTCTTCAGTTCTCTTTACTACAGTTACTGTTTCCTCTTAGTTTGCCGTCCATTTTATATCTTGGCATGGTTTCATTATCTTTCTGCTCTTTTTCTTCAGTTAATTTCTTTCTTCAAAGCTGTTAATTGGGAAACATGCAGAGATTTTGATAAGTGCAGTATCCATTTTATTTGTGTTTTCCATTTTCCCCTTCAGAAATTGTCAATTTGAAAGTAAGGTGGTACTTGAACAAAATGTATCTCTTTTTTTTTTTTTTTTTATTTTTTAACGGTATCTAAAATATCATCAGGATATTTCCATATTTCTTTTTTTGTTTGTTTCATCTCAGCTAATGCTGCTTTGTAATTGTATGGTTTTGTTCATCATAGACAAACTTGCCACAGAATGAAAAAATACAATAAACTTCATTTGCCAAGTTTACATACTCTGTTTTTTCCAAAGAAATAAGACATTTGCAGAGGTGCTGGAAGTGAGTGTTAGTTTATTTGGTTAACTTAAAAGACAGACAAAGCATATTTAGAATGAATATAAATAAGATTGTAGGCCCTGTCTAAAGATATTTGCTGTCTGGTTTATGGCATTTCGAAAGTACAGTAAATCTAGTGCAGTATCCAGCCTGCCCAGAAAGCTGGGTTTATTAGCATACCTACTAGCCATAGCAGTACAAAGCCAAGTCTAGAATAAGCCAAAATCCCATTTTATGGTCTGTAGGTGCATTCTCTGCATATAGTTTGTGATTGAGTTTAAGGTCTTAGTGGACTCGGTTCAGGTAAATGTGTGGTCCAGTCATCTCTAGTTCATGTATATGCCTATTAGCCACGACTGCTGCACAGACACATTCATGAATAATTTTATTACAGAGTTCTTGGTACGTAAGATATTATTTGTATCTCAGAAAAAGTTTTTCAAGTAGTTGGTGGGTTTACCTGCTAGGAAACTCTGCTTTTCTCATTAAAAACATCACCAACACCACCCTTGAAACTGTCAGTCAGAACATCCCCTCTGCCCTTCACCCACCAAATGCAGTATCCTTCATTTGCCCTCAACCATTAAGCTAAATGACTGCACACTTCTAAACGTGTGCTACCTGGGATGTGCTTCAGTGGTTTGTGCATTGGGTTTTGTATAGTAAGGATAATGTTGTTAGAGCATTGGTAACTAACCAGTCTATACATGTTATATGTGACATGCCACATAAATAGTGAGTATACAAACAGGTATGCAGGGTATTTTGTACAGTACAGAACTCAATGCCTCATCAAGTAGAAAGATGTAAAGGTTTTATAAGTTAGTTTGAGATAGTGTCAATGGTGAAGTCTGTACGTTTTCATTAAAATAATACAGCATATTGTGTGGGTGTGTGACAAATATGGTAGGAAAACTACGACTTACGTTCTAGTGATGGGCTGTTGCACAAAGTATGAACCTTTTTGCCATTTTCCCTCATGTCATTTTGCCTAGCTTGTGCACAAGCAATTTGTTGGGGGGGACAGGAGCAAATAAATGGAAGGGGGCTTTTTCCTAGCAGATGTTATGTGTGCTCTTTGAAACAAGATCAGAAATTGCCATTGGGCTTTTTGGTGGTATTTTTATGAAAAGTCAGATTTCTCTCTTTTCACAAAGGGAAATAGAGTCACTAAAAAAGCTGATGCTATTTTCTATTTTACAGGAAAGCCTGCAAGTCTGGGTGTGGGAAGGGGGAAGTGTGGTGATTTCAAAGACACCATTGAATTTTACCTTTACAGCATTATTTTCAACACCAAAAAGAATATATCCCTTCATTCATGCAGTTTTCAATTCCACATTAAAAAAAAAAGTCTGAGTGTATTAATTTATTATCTGGACATTAAACTTGGTGCTCTTGACTTTAACATCTAACCTATTCAAGATGTGAGTGTAGCAAAGGGTATTTTTCTTAGATTCTCATCGTAACTCCTTAGTGAATGCTGTCTGCATGGTAATGGGGTGCCTTGCTTTCCCAAGCATAGTTCAGTTCACCAGAGAATTATTTCATGTCCGCTGGAGAAGAGTATCACATTGTTTTTTATCTGTGTTTTTAGGTACTGCTGTAGCACTCCTTATCCTAGCTTCGGGATTTTTGCTATCAGCTCAGGTCTCGCCAAGGATCACACTTAATCCATCAGATCCTTCACATCAAAACTCTACCTGCACAAAATACAGGTGAGATTTCATGATCACTCATGCAGTCTTCTTGAAGATTATTTCCAATTAATTCAGTTTTACAAGCTAGTAAACACTTATTCACAAAGCCTAGTACGAGGAACCAAACAAGATACCTGAAGTTAAGATCCTAACTTCCCTCCATAGAGAAAATAAGACTCTTCGTTTAAATGCTCTGAATAATTTTTTGGAGTTTCTTGGACTAAATAAGGTGGTTAAGCAACAAACTCCATACTTGAGATCCCCTCTGTTATATCACACCTGCTGCAAATTATAGTGGGCACAAAGTTAGGTATATTTGAAAACTAATTTGTAAAAATACTTGCTGTTGTTCATCTACTCGTAGCATTTGTCATGTATAGCAGCTGCAAACTCTTCAGGAAGATGTGTTCCTTGCCTTTTGTTTTCCCAAGTGGAAAAAAAATAATCTTCAGATAATTACAGACCAACTAACAATTAAAATAAATGTGATTTTTTGACCTTTTTTTTCTGTAGTAGCTGGAAGATGCACTTTCGTATGCCATCATAGTTCCAAGTAACATTACTTCTGGAGTATTATGAATGTGCCATTTCCTCTATTTTGTGGGTTTTATGCACGTGTGAGTGCTGGTATGTTCATTTAGCTGGCAGACTAGAAAATCCCATATTTAGAGAAGGTTAGTTAAATGTCTGAAGAAATTCTCACTTATGTTCAAAATCTGTTTTACATGTTTGTGCAGTACAGATAAATATCAAGAAGTGAGAGGTACACTTACAGTTTCTGAGCAGTACTGGCTAGAAATATGTCTCATGGCTTTTCATATGCCAGCACAACGTCTTAGGTGAAAGATTCTGAAAGTCTGAACGTTTGTGGATGCCCGGAGAGGGGGCAGAAGACCTTCAAGAGAGTGTGAATAGGTGCTAATAACTGCAATATTAGATACTACCAGATACGAGGTTTCGTACGTGCAAACCCCTATATTTTACTTGTTCTCTGCTGCAGTGTCAACTATGTTTTGCAGTTCTTGAGATGTGCCTATACAGCTTTTTCAGATGACAAGCAATCTGGTTAAAAGCTGCAAAGGGGGATTGAGCTTCCAAATGCTCTCCTCTCAGAATATGATCGCATTAACAGCAGGATGTCAGAAGGATTTGCCTAAAACTTCAGTTAACTCTTTGGGGAGGATGCACCAGAACTCATTATTTGTTATCTAGTAAAGCTAGATTATTATATAACCTGAAACAGTATAGAATCTGTTTAAAACAGATTCTTAAAACATTATAAAAATGGCTAGTACAGCTTAAAAAGTAATGAAAAAGTATTTGACACCATTTTCATTTTCCAGTTAACCACAGCCAGTCAGGAAGGAAATTCAGACTTGCTGCAGCTTGTTTAGTGTGCACTTCTGGGCAAATGCATGAAAAATTAAAGCAGGTAGTTCTAGTAAAGGTATATGATGTTTCATGAGTTATTGGAATACTTTTAATCTGTCATTATTTCTATTTCAGACATGAAGTGAGCAAAAGCAGATATGGTAAAAATTCCAATGGTCTAGAAAAGAGCAACGGAAGAATTGAAATACTTTCATTTGAGAGTGTTTTGGAATAGAAGGAGCTCTCTTATTTAAAGATAAAAGTGAACATGGAGGGGGCGACGTGAAAGAATGAGCAACATATGAGAAATCTTTAGACACTTCTGGTTTAATCTTATAACTGTATCTTAGTTCAGAGACACAAAAGCCAGGAGAGTTGAAACTAATAAATGGATGCAATTGCCCACAAATCACAGAATTAGGCTACAGCACTCCCTCTTTGAAAGGATTTGAAAAAATAGGGATTGGTATGGTTAATAAGTATTTTCACACTTGTGTATCTAAAACTATATCTGGGATATCAATTTTCATGCTTCAAAACATCACCAAACCCTGACCCTGCTATAGCCAAAGGAAGAATATTCCTTCGGCATCATGAATATTAGTGTTCATTATGAGGTGGTATCAGCCACTGACTCCATAGCAGGAAGCTTCAAAATTCCAGGTGTCTTCATCCAAGGCAGAAGTGCAAGAAATATTGTTTGCCTTTGGCAAAGATCATGGGAAAAAAAACCCAGAGGAGATTAGTTTCAGCATGCCTTTCTGCCAAGCTCTTGTAGCTACACATAGAGAATATACATTAATTTGTTCTTTTATCTCAATTATTTCTGGAGGAGTTGACATATAATCATGTTATATTTGACTTGGAAAAGTAGCTGTTCGGGACAGGAGTATGCCTGCTTTCTGTGCACATGGTCAGTAAGTGGAACAAAATGAAAAAAAACCATATTTTTGTCATGAGAAGGTAGATGGCGTTCTCGACAAAAGCCTTGTGGGGCTCGCCTCTCTTTTTTGGCCTTGGAGGTATTCCCTGTGGCAGTTATGGAGCTGAGTCAGAGGTTCTCAAACCTGAGGATTTGGAAGTAAAAGACTGCTCTGCGTAATGCCAGTCTTGCATATTTTCTATGTTACTATAGAGAATAATGGCATTAAAGGGGCTGTACAGATAGTGCTGTGTTGGGTAACAAATGTTACTGTAGGGATAGTTGCAAATGAGATATCTGATCAAATTAAAGTAACTCAAAGGCAGTGGTCTCTTACTGTTTAATCCATGTTCTAGCTTGCTTCAGTATAACTTAGTATCTCATACTGCTTAGTGTCGCATCTTGCAAGCCTTGAAGAGGTCTCAGAAAGTTTTGGAAAAGCAAAAGGACTTCAGAAGATCAACACATAATGCCATATCCCTGTAATCACTGTAACCTCTTTTAAATTTGTGTGGCTACACAAATGCAGCTCATAGTCTCCTTTATCAGATGGTGATGCAGTGCTTCTCTGAGGTGAGGTATACTTAAGAGTCTAAACCTGTTTGCAGCTTGGTCATCTCACAGTATGGGGCAGTTTCCTAAATACATCTTGTATTTGTCTTTGCCAAAATGTATTTATAACTTATAAAAACATCAGTAAAATTTATTTTGCTGACAGAAGTTTCACTGATACTGTGCAGTGTAGAAATTATTTTTATGTTTGCAAATCTTTTGGGTTCCAGTAAGTGTGGGTGTCCATTATGGAAGCCTTAGAGCTACTACAAACAGTCTTGTTTGTTTATTGTTCCCTCAGATCCATGTTCCTCTGCACATATAACAATGAAGATAGAACAGATTAGCAAATAAAGAACACAGTCACAGTCCTGATTCAAAAAAGCACCTAGGGCTTGAATACTGCATTCTGAAAGACCTGTGCTGAGACAACGGAGTTACAAGTTACCCATATATGGTTGCAGAAAAGCAAACCAGTAAGATACGCTGCAATTTTCATTTGGAGTAGAGATGTACAACCTCATAGTTGATCAACAGCCAAAAAATAATCTATAAATCAGGAGGGAAAAAAAAAGTCATGTGTCACAAGGACATCATGGAAATAATGCAAATCCAGCAGGACACCTGAACACTGAAATTCACTTTGCCTCCTTAAAGGTGGAAGTGGGTGGGTGTCTTGCTGAGGAAAGGCGAGGTGAACACTCACCTGTGTGCCATCCTTACATCAAACTTAATTTTCATACTCAGCCCATGTAGGATTGTACAGATAACTTGCAGTGTGCTGACCACTTTGATCTTAATCTCTTCAGCAGCTGTGATCTGTTACTTATCAAGGTCACAGAGAAGTTCAGAGGTAAATTTAAGAATCAAAACCAACACCATCCCCAAATTTGTCATCTTAGAAATGAAAAGATGATGTAGCCATTCCTATTAATCTGACTACTCAGACATCTATGAATATGTTCCTGCTTTTGCTGGGACTTGCCTGTTCTGGAAGGAGGTCCTGATCAGCGCATGTGCAGTAGATACCCTACCACCTTTTCCCAATCTTCAGTGAATCAAAGGTGTGACTGTCCCACTCGACCTTTCTCAGGGACATTCACCCATTTCTGGAAAACTATCATTGTCCTGTTGCTATGTATTCTTGGTCTTTTTGTTTCCTTTGATTCATGTGTCTGTCTCACTGCACTTCTTGAGACTTTGTCATCTGTAGAAGACAAAAGGTGAACTTCTTCTGCTTAAACAATATTTTTCACCTCAATTACTGCATGAAAATGGTAACTTTTGTGTTAATCTTTGGTTAACCATTATATCCTAGGGAAATGGTACCTGTCCACAAGAATTTTCTCAGGTTCCTGGGAACTGGTTGTCTTCAGAGCTTGATTAAAATAATACAGGCAGTGCCAGCTGTTCTGGACACAAGGCTTCTGTTGTTCATCTTTGAATTAGTCACCCTCATGTGGTTAATGTTCCTAAGCCCATTGTACACATACACATCACTGAGATAAAGACACCAATATTTAGTACTCTTACACAGCAGTTTTACATGATAGCTAATTGGCAGAAATATATATTTTCTTTGTAAATTTAACAACAGTATAAGATTGTGCTCAGTCCTGATAACCTCAGCTAATGTAGTAACTGAAGATGGTTTTATTGTATTTAATAGCTTTAGGATCCATGTGATAAGTATATTAGCTATTTTACTTAAGTTAACTCATTGACAATCTGATTTATCTGCAAACTGAACATCAGTAGTCTTCATGCTGTCACTGTATCATAGAACCAGTGCTTTTTAAAATATCATTTTCATTTTTTGTTTCTAATGTCAAAGTAACTGAGTCACTGGTCATTCTGACAACCAAGAATTCCAGTAATAAATATAGTAATGTGTTCCTGCTATTAAGGTCAGAAAATTTTGAGTATGTAAAAGGATAAAGCATGTTTGAGAATACTTTTGCCAGCTTTTACAAAATGTAATTAAAATTCATATGGACAGTTTATGTTCTAGAACTGTAAAATGACCTTAACATAGTGTTGAAATTATTAAGTAGATAATATAAGTTTATATTGCTTGGTAATAATTTTCCATTTGCTGGCATGTTTCTCCTATGAATCAAAACTTGTAATTCAATTTAAAATTTTAAGGGATAGGAAGGCATACATCAGTTCT